TACAAGCAATCATAGAGGCTGATAATTTGAATGTGAGTTGTGAGCAAGATGCCTTCCGTGCGATAAAACGATGGTATGAGTACGATGCCTCTGCACGCCAAAAAGAACTGCCAGTTCTAATCGATTGCTTACGTCTTACGCAACTCGGCGAATGCTTTTTAATGGAGAACGTTCAACCATTGCCAGGATGTGAAGTGTTGGCATTAAGAGCACTATCGTGGATAGGTTTTCCATCAACACGTTCGAAAGTATCATTAAAATTTTCAGCACCACGACAAAATGTGTGCAACAAACCGGTATTGTTAGCGGTGCAAGTATCGGTAAGTTCAAGCAACTAGTTATTAAAAAATTTCGGAGCTTAGCTCAACGGTTACCGTTGCTGACTTTAAGCACCGATGGTGGTCTTTCGATCCCTGTTGAAGTCTAGAAAAAAAATTTTATGAGATGTTGTGATTTCCGAAAAAGCAGATATGTTGCTATAACTTCTACCACTTGGATTTGGTTGCTTTTTAAACAAATAGTAGCATAGTTTTAGATCTATATAGATATATCCACTGGTGAAACCAAATTGGAAACAACGGTCACCATGTTTAGACCACACATCTAAAGCCCGCGATAAAAGATAGCACATCAAAAATTTTACCAGTTTTGACTACTTTTCTTTTGCTTTTTTAAGGTTCATTAATTTTTTATTAAAGTTAAAACAAATACCAAATAAGTCCAAATTTCAAACTTTGTGCAAGGAAAAATATATTAAAAATTCCACAAGCTTTTCATCCCAATTCCAAGTATTTGAATTCGAATTTCTAAACTAATTTTTGGTATGCAGTTTTACAGCTAAAAATAAGATAAAGATAGTTTGGAGTTGCTAAAAATCGCATTGATTTTTGATAATTATTTTTTCTGACGGTGTTATGCGCTTTTATCCGTATAAAAATTACTTTGTGTGGAAGAAATTGCGTGATAGCGTCAGCAAAAAAATAATCAAAAATCAACGCGATTTTTTAGCCACTTCAAACTTGCACTTTATTATACTCGAATTTTGAGCTATAAAACTGCATGCCAAAAATTATTCTAGAAATTAAAATTAAAATGCTTGGAATTGGGNTATGGTATTTGTTGGCGTTGGTGATATACTTTTATTTAAAAATAATAAACATTAAACAAACAAAAGATAAATAGTCAAAAATGTTCAAAATGTTGAGGTGCTATCGTTTTGTCGCGGGCTGTATGCATATTAATGAGGGCTTTCTAATGTAACACAATACTGCATTTAATAAATCTTAATTCCTTTCAATTTATGCTAATATTTAAACTAGAAGTTGGAAACTAAAGTGTTATATAACTCAGGTTCACTAATGATTATGCTCTTGATGTTTATTCATTTGTGTTTAAACTTAAATATTTTCTTAAAACATAACCATGTGATCAATTCTCCTTTTTTTTTTTTGGGTTTTGGGTTCGATGGCCAGTTTCCCAACGCCAGGTTATCCCTTTGCTTATTATGTTGGTGTCGTGTTACACGAAGGTGTACCTTCTCAGATAAAACGTAGTGTGCAGTAGCACTTGATGAGTGTTTATCTTGTTGGTTGATCCAATAAGGTTATTCAAACAGCAAAATTACATAAGGTATATTGTGTTAATACGTGTGGATGAACGTAGACATCAAGATGAGCGGATTCAGATAGCAGATTTGCATGTAAGGTGAGATGGCTGTGCTAATTGTCGTTTGAGTAAGGTGCCCATCTTCAGTAATTGTTTTAACGAATGCCAGTATTGAGGCCCAGCTTATTCCCGCGAATTTAGCAGGTTTTGAGGGTATCCCTCCAATTTTCAGGCCATCAGTTTGGGTTATTTGGCATTTGACAAATTTTTTTAGTACGACAAAAGGAGAAAAAAAAGAGTGAGGTGGACGGTGTTAAGACACCTGTGCTAAGCTGAGAGTAAAGTAGTATTTAAAATTTAGCTTCAACTTTTGATAAGAATTCAGATAATTGAGAAATCTTGCGAAAATCGAGATTGCGAAAGATCGCTACAAAATTTGCGTCTTCCCGGAGGACTTCGAAGCGCTCCCTAGTATTTGCATGAACACTGCAGTGGAAAATTTGATGTATATAGTTATCAATCATACCGCATGTACACAGATTGTTGTTAATAGCTTTAATACGATATAGATATTCTTAGTCATAAGTGTAATCAGTGAGTATCCTATTTAGAATTTTAATATCTCTCGGATTAGTCTTATATTTTTTAAACCATGTTTTGTTTGTTTTTTGAGGAAAAACGTGTGCGAATAAATGTGGTTTGCTGGCAGAAAAGCTTAGAAACTTTTCATACCAGTTGTTTTGAATACGATTTCGGATGCTTTTTAGAGCTTCCTCAATCGTGAGTCTTATTTCAATACAGTTATTACCAGTTATGACAGTTTTGGCTAGTTCGTCAGCCTTTTCGTTTCCAACAATACCTTTATGACTAGGGGTCCATATCACAGTAACATTGTAAAATTCAGACTCGTTAATGAGTTTGTGAATTTCGTATATGTAATGGTTTTGAGTTTTGTCTTTTGTTAGAAGTGTGCAGGCTACTAAACTGTCCGTAAAAATTGTTATTCTTGAATAGTTTTCCTCTTTGGCAATTTGTAGTGCTTTTAATATAGCTATTATTTCACCAAAACTAGATGAGGATCTAAAATTGATTTTATAAGCATACTCTGTTTTGTTAGAGTAATTGTAAATACCGCATTCTGTGGCAAAATCATCAACAGAAGCATCTGTAAACATAACGCGAAAATCAGATCTTTTATAATCATTTAATAAAGCAGTATATGTGGACTTTATAGCGTCGGAGGATAAGTGGTCTTTTTTCTTATTAAGAGTGTTAGTTATCACATGTAGATTAGGCGAGGAAATGGATTCCTGTACTATGGTCAGGTCGTCAAAAATATCTTTAAATTCATTAAAAATTACGCTATAGCTAGAGTTGACATTTGGCAAATTGTAAAATGTTGCCTTAAAGGATTCGTCCGATAGCAAATTATTAACCAATTCTTTTGCTGTGAGCCATTTGGCTCTATCAGCCGGTGGCAGTTCGTTTGCTAAAGCATAGATAAGAGGGATAGGAGTTGAAGAGATATGTCTGAATCTTTTTGCTAATTGTTTTGTTTACCTGAGCAACGTTTCCCCAAAATAAGGTTTGCGCAATTTTATTGTGTAGTAATTTCCACAATATCGCCTTGTAAAGAGTGGGCAAAATAAGACCTACCAATGTTAAACACGTATAACTTCTTTATTTTTTAATATTATTGTTGTTTTCTTTCTGCATGTTATAGTAAATCTCTTGGAAAATCATAATGGATACTTACAGCAATACCACCAACAACGACTACAATACCCTATTCGTTTCCCACAATAAGCCACAAATTGATTTTTTAGGTAATGTTTTGATGTCGGTTGAAGCGCATTTCCATTTCACTGGTTATGCCAACAAGCAAAACTGTAGATTGTGCGGCTCTGAAAATCCAAGTGCAACACACCAACGCCAGTTACACCCATCCAGATGCACTGTTTGGTGCGGTGCTATGGCCGAAAGAGTTATCGGCCCATATTTCTGCGAGAATGAGGATGAAGCGCCAGAAACGATTTCTGGGGCTTCTTACAGAACAAAGATTGACAACTTTTTGCGTCCAACGGCAGAGCAACAACAGGATGGAGCGACTGTGCACACTGCTGGGCAAACTATGGACCTGCTGCGTGAAATTCGTAGGTCTTATATGGCCCACCCTGTACAAGTCTCGGGATGCGCAATGATTTTGTGTGGTTTAGGGGCCCTATAAGTTTGTTTTTTGTTATGAAAATAAGCACACAGATTCTCTGTTTTTGTTAAAGCAAGTAATATAATATTTTTTTTTTTAATTACGGATTTAATTATAAAATTTAATTAATTATTTGTTTGCAAATAAAAGTTTAAAAAACAACAGTTGTGTTTGCTTGATCCATTTTCCAAACGCACGGCAACGCTGGTACGAAGCCGATTGTCAGTGTTGCCACGGTCAAATTTTTTTTTTTTGCAACCAAAATGTCCTGCCAACCAACTTACCAAAAATTTGTTTGATCAAGAAGATCTTTTGTGCTATACCCTAATTGTAATCACTCCAATATATTTTAATTTTGCCTAAAGAAACAACGAGATTGTAAAAACATACCAGAAATGTATAATACTCACTTCTCTTAAAATCATGATTCCCATGGGTCCCAAAGTAAATTCCACTTTCAAGTTAATTGAAAGAGATGCAGTTTAAAGTTCAATAGGGGATTCACAAGACGTGTTAAGCGTCGTAATGTCTTAAAGTTTTAAAAATTTGCAACGTAAAATAACGGCTAATACCAGAAACAATCGCATCCGATATAGAAAACTGCAATAGTTTTGAGTTACATTGTGAAATAATCGGATGACACAAAGACACAAAATTTTTTAAAAATGTGTTAATTAAACTTTTATTAACCTAAAAATAAACATTTAAAGGTATTAATTATTTTTAAAAGGTAACTGTTAATACAACTGTTTTATATATTATGCCAAATTTTTGATAAAAAATCACCTCTACCAAAAAACTTAAATTGAGTAACGCCGTTTCCTAAATTTCACAATTGAGCAATTGTCAAAAATCTGCTTCTTACTCAAAAAGTTGTTTATTCAAACGACCTTATTTTTTGTATCATGGTTCTGTGCGTTGGCATGTCAAATGAAAGCTTTTGGCTCTTTCTGATTGGCTGAAGCAGAAAGCTTTCTGATACAACTCTGCGTTGAACTGGGTTTCAAACGAGTTGAATGATTTAACTGGTTAAATTTCTCAACAACAATTGCATGCGATTTAACTACAGTCGGGTCTACGTAACCGGAACGACCCAGATTTATATTTGGCCAGGGACTGTCACCCCAGCAACACTCCCCAAAAACTCTTTGGGGAACTTATATGCTGCTACAACAACAACAACATAAATTACATAATTCACGTAGGCGTCTTAATATTTCGTTTAAAATGCCAAATTTCCTGCAAATACATTAGAATTTACAAAAGGAATTTCCCTACTAATTGCCTATTTCGCGCTTTTCTACTACCATTTTCGCACCAGAGAATTCATTCTTCCCCATTATCCGTCCTTCGTAAATGCAACGGTTGTCAAACCGCGGCTGTCAATAATTATCAAACCTTTTATTATTGAATCATGCTTGTTCCCCGCAAACATATTCTGAGCGCTCAGAATATATAAGTCCGAAAGGAGTCCTAGTTGGGTACATGGTGGAATAAACAAGGTGATGTCAGTTACATAACCTCACTTTTTTGGTAGCCCCATTTCGGCAATGCATATAAATGTAGTAAAAATAGGGGAACCATTAGAGGACCATTTTAACGCTCTTTTGAATACTATTTTTAAAAAGTATGTATTAAAGAATTATTTTATCAAAACAACGTTAAAGATAATAAACAATAGTTGTGTTAGGTTTACCCATTTCCAGTAAAATCCAGAAAAATTGGTATGAATTTTCATGTTTTGGCAATTTCGTACGCAAAAACTTATTGAGAGTGCGAAACAGCTGAAGTTTAAAGTTTTTACTGCATTTTTAATGGATAAATTTTTACTTGTAACTTGTTGGATGCAATTTAAACTAATAAGGAAACTGTTTTTGGGTTTTTATTATTGAAATTGACCAAATAAACCAATTTAAATATAAAATATATAGTTTTATTAGGAATTTGCTGCGAATAAAGAACCAATTTATCAGCTGTTCATGAAACTTGATAATTATTACTGGATTTGCGTTCACGTACTTTTTCGGATATTTTTTCTTTGAGAGCGAATTCGCAGAAATTAAGTTATTGGGGAGTTGCGGGCGAGTTACTGAATAATTTTTTAAACAAACACAACTACTCAAGGTGTATTAAACAAGGTGGTGTTGGGGCGACAGCTGAGTTTTTCGCCGTGGAGGCCATTACGTCAAAATGATGTGTTTGTTGTAACTCATACCAATGACAGTATGGACATCAGCGTTTAATTTGTTAGTGTAATTTTTTACTTATTTACGGCCAACACCACCTTGTTAAATACGCCTTGCAACTACTCTTAGTAAGTTTTTTCTTCGTTTTAAAAGGCCGATTACACAACTAAACAGAAATGTCAAGGACAGTCATGTTCACTCTTACGTTTTCAGCGCAATACCTAAAAGGAGTTTTTCTAGTGTAGTTTTTGTTCACTACTACTGCTACTATTAAAAGTATGTTGGAATGTATATATGCACATTCATATGTACTATATATTGTATTTAAAAGAAATTTTTGCCGAACGACTGCAAATATGGCTCTAAAGTGAGCTCAATAAGAACCAAATAATAAGGCCATTAAGACTCAAAGAACAACCTAAAATAAGAGTCCGAAAGTCGCCATTTATGGAGCCAATAAGAGTCATTTACGAGCCTCAAAAAGAGTATGAAATTGTTCATATATGAGGCCAAAAATTGTTTTAAAAGAGTCCAAAATGAGCCGTTTATGAATTAAAGCTCATATAAGTCGACCTTCGGAGGAAGGGAAACACCTCATTTCGGACTCTTAAATGAGCTCATTACGAGCGTAAAGGTTCGAAATAGGACTCCTTAAAGACTCATTTAAGGCTCCAAATGTTTGCTAGGTTTATGAACACGTTTTGTCCATTTCAAGCCCATTTAACATTTTTAACTCGTAAATTTGAACGTGGTATTAGTGAAAAAAAGTTTGACTGTAAAATACTACCAAATACATACATATCTGTGTTCGTATGGAAAAGTAGCTTATGTCGAAAGGCTGGCTTTAGTATAATGCGGCATTCCCTTTATTCCTTAAACGACAAGGAATTTTTTGAAGAGACTTAATAAGAATGTTGACTTGCTAGTATCGGAACTATTTATCGCAAGTTTATTTGCCAAAAGTTCTTCAACGGCTCAGCGCCAGTGAGTCATTCGCAATCATATGCTGCGAATGCCGATTTATACTAAAGCCAGCCTTTCGACATAAGCTACTTTTCCATATGAACACAGATATGTAACTATATTTTAATTTGAAAACAGAATCGTAATTTTATGTGAAGTAGTGAAAAAATGATTTCTCTTCATGTTTTAGCCGGAAAATTTGTCTTGCAACGGTCGTTCTACAGGTGTGGTCACAAACATTTTTCAATATGACAAAGCTGAAGATGAATGGCACAAATACGCCGACATAGGAACCTCTGATTGGAAGAACTACGGCCTGGAACTCTTTGACAATAGTCTAATGTTTATTGGAGGTAGATGCCGTGGCAATGAAGTCAATACTGTTAAAAGCTGGAGTTTTACGACGAAAACGTGGATAACGTTGCCCCCAATGGTTCGGCTAAGGAGTTTTCCAGTCGTTTTATCATTAAATAAAAGTATCTACGCCATTGGCGGACAAAATGCCGCATCAGTGGAAATGTAAGTATGTTTGCAAGTACGAAGCATTATACGACAAATGTTCTCACGACAGTCGGGTCAACCTAATCATACAAATTCCTCAAAGAGATATTGTGGGTCCTAGTCCTTAGCTCTAAACCTTTACATATTAAACCATTTTAGGTATTCGCCTGTTAGCGGATGGAAATTTGTAAGCAACATGTCATCACAGCGTTATAGTGCTGGCGCAGTGGTTCATGACGGCAAAATTTTCATTATGGGAGGCTGCGATGGATGGTCTTCCTTAAAATCTGTTGAACGTTACGACCCATCTTTGAATTCTTGGACCAAGTGTGCGGATATGAATGCAGTTCGTCGTTGTCCTGCAGTAAGTGAGCTACAAAAACCAAACCTAATATATGCCGATGAACTTATGTATATAGTTATGAAGATTAGCAATGTATATATATATTTGTATATATTGTATGTATGTCCCTCCATATTTTAGGTAGCCGTACACAATGGATGCATATATGTTTTAGGTGGTGGGTCTGAAATAGTTGAACGGTACGACCCAAAAAGGAACAAATGGACTAAGGTTGGTTAAAGTACAGTTTCGGATATTTCGAAAGTCATAACACAATTTTTCATTACTAATCGTAGATCTGCTCTTTGAGCGTTAAATGTAACGCCATGGGTTGTGTTTCTATGGATGATCAACTGTGGGCCATTGGAGGTAACACCACAAATTTCGTGTCAGTTTACAACGCAGAGCGTAATGAATGGATCGAAAAGAAAAAACTACCTGCACCTGTTGGTGGTTCATACTTCTGTTATGTTGTGCCGAAAATGTTACTTAAAAATTAATAAGACGTGTGGCAGTTTAATAAGAAGATGCCTATTAAAGGCGGTTTTTGATTTCCAACATACATACATATTTTTGAAAGGAATTCGAGTTGAATGAACTTTTATGTATAACTACTACCTTAATTTTGTGTTTTTGAATTGGAGTTTAATGAACTTTTATGTATAACCATTATTTTTAATTTTGTAATGGGTTCTCTTGCTACAGCTGCGAAGAGGCCAAACTTAATAA